GTCTCAAAAAAAAAAAAAAAAAAAAAAAAATACAAAAATTAGCTGGGCATGGTGGCACGTGTCTGTAATCCCAGCTACTCGGGAAGCTGAAGCAGAGAATTGCATGAACCCGGAGGCAGAGGTTGCGGTGAACTGAGATCACACCACTGCACTCCAGCCTGGGTGACAGAGCAAGACCCTGTCTCAAAAAAATAAATAACTGGTTTGGGAGGCCGTGTCTAGGACTAGGGGCTTTACCCTAAGAGCATGGCAGGGGATGTTGAAGGGTTGGAAATGTGTGAACAGATTTATGTTTTAGGAAGATACTCTGGCCGCTATGTGGACAACAAATCAAAGAGAACAAAATCAGAGATGTCACAGTTACCCAGATAATGATGCTACATCCTGGACCAGGGAGGAGGCAGTGGAGGTGGGGAGAAGGGCCAGGTTCCTGAGGCCCCTAATAGGCAGGGTGGGCAGGAGTAGGGAATGGATTGCATGGGAGTTGGGGTGTGGGGAGGTAGCCGGGATGACACGCTGGGTTCCAGCTTGAGCAAATGGGGAGATTTGTTCTAAACACACACACAGAGACCAGGACATGCACAAGCAAGTATATCCATTCATAGATACACAGATGTGCCCACACAAGCTTACAGGCCAAGAGAAACAGACACAGATACACTCACAGGCTAAGAAACACACATAGGCCATGATGCTTGCATACAAACATTCATACCTTCAGACATACCAAGAACATGCACAGACTGAGAAAAAGTCCTGACAGGGCTGGACGCAGTGACTCACGCCTGTAATCCCAGCACTTTGGGAGGCCAAGGTGGTCAGATCACCTGAGTTCGGGAGTTCGTAACTAGCCTGACCAACATGGAGAAACCCCATCTCTACTAAAAATACAAAATTAGCCGGGTGCGGTGGTGCATGCTTGTAATCCTAGCTACTCGGGAGGCTGAGGCAGGAGAATCGCTTGAACCCAGGAGGCGGAGGTTGCAGTGAGCCAAGATCGCCCCATTGCACTCCTGCACTCCAGCCTAGACAACAAGAGCGAAACTCCATCTCAAAAAAAAAAAAAAAAAAAAAAGTGCTGATGGACACAGGACAGGACACACACTAGCCATGACACATATTTGCAGAGGTGCATACGAACACATGAACCCCAGACACACTCACACCTCACCAGAAAGCACACACTTGAAGCACAGACAGAGAGAGGGAGCAGCATACAGAAACACAGCAGAGAGCAGCAGCACCACCCTGGAGCTGCCCCCTGCTGCCCATGTAACCCCGGGCGGTCATGTCACCTTTCTGTGCCTCAATTTTGTCATCTGCCAAAAGGGATGATAATGGACACTCCCTCATGGGTTGACATGAGTCACTTCACATAAAACACATAAATCTCATTACCTCCTTTGAGAATGGAAAAAAAAAAAAAAGAAATCCCAGCACTTTGGGAGACCGAAGACTCACTGCATGAGTACAGGAGTTCAAGACCAGTCTAGGCAACATAGCCAGACCTGATCTTTATTTTTAAATTAAACACACACACACAGAGACCAGGCACACAGAGGCTGTTGGTGCAACATTTTCTCTTTTATGCAGACATTCTCAGGGATCCAGCCACTCACTGTCCCTGCCTGCATCTGATTCCAAGCTTCTCCACTTCAGAAGCCTTTGCTTCCTCCCAAGGCCCCAGACCTGGCCCTTCCTCCATCCCCTTTCCATCCCCCACACAACTTTCCTCCCCACCGCTGGTCTTACCCTGGTCAGTCCTCAGGAGTCACCATTCTTACCCTGCTCAGTCCTCAGGAGTCAGATCCAACTGTTGAGAAACTCTCTCGGACAAAGAAAGGGCCTGGGGGGGATAGTCAGTCAGTGGAACACACCCCCCAAAGCTGAATCCCCTCGGCCCTACCTCTGCCCCAGTCCTCACCCATGGCCCTACTAGGCCTGCCCCTGCCCCAGTGCCCTCTGCCAGGGATTCCTGGCGAGTTTCTGGCAACCTCAACATCCTTCCTGCCAGCTCCACCCAGCCCAGCCCTCAGGGAGCTGCCTGGAACAGGACAAAGGGCAGAGCCCTGGAGTCCCTAGAGCCTGAGTCCAGCCCCTTCCCAACTCCTTTTTACAGTCACTTGTTCTGTCGGAAATGTCCCCTCTCCTCGTCTTTTATTTTATTTTATTTATTTATTTTTTTGAGACAGAGTCTCTCTTTGTTGCCCAGGCTGGAATGCAGTGGCATGACGTTGGCTTGCTGCAATCTCCGCCTCCCAGATTCAAGCAGTTCTCCTGCCTCAGCCCCCCAGTAGGTGGGATTACAGGTACGTGCCACCACGCCTGGCTAAGTTTTGTATTTTTAGTAGAGACAGAGTTTCACCATGTTGTCCAGACTGGTCTCGAACTCCTGACCTCAGGTGATCCACTGGCCTCAGCCTCCCAAAGTGTTGGGATTATAGGTGTGAGCTACCGTGCCTGGCCTTATCATCTTAAAAGATCCCTAACCATGGATCCCTACCCGCATGGATGCCACCACTTTACCAAGGGGCGGCAGTGCACCAACTGCTGCCCAAGGGCTGAATAAAACAAGCAAAACTTCCTGCCCCTTGGAGGAAGGAGCTTATAATCCAGTGGGGGAGACAGAGGGCAAACAATATAAATACAGGCATGCCTTGGAGACATTTTGGGTTTGGTTCCAGACCACCTGATAAAGCAAGTCACACAAATCTGTTGGTTTCCCAGTGCATAGAAAAGCTATGTTTACACTATACTATAGTCTATTCAATGTATGATAGCATATGTCTAAAAATAGCATGTACATATTTTAATTTTTTTTCTGTAGAGACGAGTCTCGCTGTCTTGCCCAGGCTGGTCTCGAACTCCTAGCCTCAAGTGAGCCTCCTGCCTCAACCTCCCAAAGTGCTGGGATTACAGGCATGAGTTACCATACCTGGCCCCATACTGTGCTAATGATCATCTGAGCCTTCAGCAAATCCTCATCTTTTTGCTGGTAGAGGGCCAGTAGTGATGGCTGTTGACTCATCAGGGTGGTGGTTGTGGAAGGTGGCTGTGGCAATTTCTTAAAATAAGGTAACAATGAAGTTTTCTGCCATCGATAAACTCTTTCACAAAACAGTTTACCATAGCATGCGATGCTGTTTGATACCATTTTGCCCACAGTAGAACTTTCAAAATTAGAGTCGGGCCAGGCATGGTAGCTCACACCTGTAATCCCAGCACTTTCGGAGGCTGAGGTGGCCGAATCACCTGAGGTCAGGAGTTTGAGACCAGCCTGGCCAACATGGTGAAACCCCCTCTCTACTAAAAATGCAAAAATTAGCCGGGTGTGGTGGTGGGCACCTGCAATTCCAGCTACTCAGGAAGCTGAGGCAGGAGAATCACTTGAACCAGGGAGGTGGAGGTTGCAGTGAGCCAAGATTGTGCCATTGCACTCTAGCCTGGGCAACAAGAACAAAACTTATCTCGAAAAAAAAAAAATTGGGGTCAGCCCTCTCAAAGCCTGCTGGTGCTTCATCAACCCAGTCTATGTCATAGTCTAAATCCTTTCTTGCCATTGTTCCTGGATATCAAATGTATTTCTTTTTTTTTTTAATTTATTTTTATTTTTTGTTGCGGGGGTGATCTCACTGTTACCCAGGCTGATTTCAAACTGGCCTCAAGCAGTCTTCCTGCCTTGGCCTCCCAAAGTGCTGGGATTACAAGTATGAGCCACTGCACTCAGCCTACAAAGTATATTTCAATTTTTTATTATTTAATCTTTTTTTTTTTTTTTTTTTTTTTTTTTTAGGGAGACAGAGTTTCACTCTTGTTACCCAGGCTGGAGCGCAATGGCACGATCTCGGCTCACCACAGCCTCCGCCTCCTGGGTTCAGGCAATTCTCCTGCCTCAGCCTCCTGAGTAGCTGGGATTACAGGTACGTGCCACCATGCCCAGCTGATTTTTTGTATTTTTAGTAGAGACGGAGTTTCACCATGTTGACCAGGATGGTCTCGATCTCTTGACCTTGTGATCCACCCGTCTCGGCCTCCCAAAGTGCTGGGATTACAGGCGTGAGCCACTGCGCCCGGCCCAATTTTTTATTATTTAATAAGACTTAGAGCTGGGCATGGTGACACATGCCTGTAATCCCAGCTATTCAAGATGCTGAGACAGGAGGATTACTTGAGGTCCGGTGTTCAGGATCAGCCTAGGCAACACAGCCCTATCTCTTAAAAAAAACACAAAAAATTAGCCAAATGCAGTGGCTCTCACCTGTAATCCCAGCTACTCAAGAGGCCAAGGCAGGCAGGAGGATCTCTTGTGGCCTGGAGTTCAAGACCAGCCTAGGCAACACAGGAAGACTCTGTCTCTAAAAACCTGAAAAAACAATTAACCAGGCATAGTGGTGCCCATCTGTAGTACCCACTATTCAGGAGGCAGACGTGAAAGGATCACTTGAGCGCAGAAGTTCTAGGCTGCAATGAGGTATGACTGCACCACTTCACTCCAGCTCAGGTGACACAGCAGGAATCGATCTCTAAAACTAAAAATTAAAAAATATATAACAAATAGTAAGACTTAAAAGTTGAAATTACTCCTTGGCCTGTGGGCTGCAGAACAGATGATGTGTTAGCACGCATGAAAACATAAGCCAGGCACGGTGGCTCATACCTGTAATCCCAGCACTTTGGGAGGCCGAGGCGGGCAGATCACCTCAGGTCGGGAGTTTGAGACCAGCCCGACCAACATGGAGAAACCTGTCTCTACTAAAAATACAAAATATGGGTGTGGTGGCACATGCCTGTAATCCCAGCTACTCGGGAGGCTAAGGCAGGAGAATTGCTTGAACCCGAGAGGCGGAGGTTGTGGTGAGCTGAGATTGCACCATTGCATTCCAGCCTGGGCAACAAGAGCAAAACTCCATCTCAAAAAAAAAGAAAACAATATTGCTCTACTTGTATGTCTCCACCAGGGCTCTTGGGTGACCACGTGCATTGTCCTTGAGAAATATTTTGTTTTTTTCTGTGCAGTACGTCTCAACAGTGGGCTTGAAATACTCAATAAATCATGTGATAAACAGACGTCTTCTCATCCAGGCTTTATTCCATTTAAGAGCACAGGCAGAGTAGATCTGGGGTAATCCTGAGGGCCCTAGGATTTCTAGAATGATAAATGAGCACTGGCTTCAACTGAGTCACCAGTTCCATTAGCTCCTGGCAAGGGGTCAGCCTGGCCTTGAAGCTTTGGAGCCAGGCACTAACCTCCTCTCCATCGGTGAAAGTCCTAGATGACATCTTCTTCCAATACATGGTGGTTTCATCTACATTGAAAATATGTAGCCGTCTTCATCAACGATCTTAGCTAGATCTTCTGGGTAAGCACTTGCTGCGTCACCTTACACATTTATGTTACAGAGATGGCTTCTTTCCTTAAACTTCATTAATTCACCTCTGCTAGCTTCCGACCTTTTTTTCTGCAGCTTCCTCACTTCTCTCAGCCGTCATGGAATTGAAGAGGGACAGGGCCTTGCTTGGGATTAGGTTTTGGCTTAAGGACATGTTGTGGCTGGTCTGACCTTCTATCCAGACCACTCAAACTTTTTCCATATCAGCAATAAGGCTGGTTCACTTTCGTATCATTCATGTGTTCACTGGAGTAGCACTTTCATTACTTTCAAGAACTTTTCCTTTGCATTCACAGTTTGGCTAACTGGCAAAAGAGGCCTAATTTTTAGCCCGTTTCAGCATTGGACATGCCTTGCTCACTAAACTTAATCACTTCTAGTTTTTTATTTAAAATGAGAGACACAAGACTCTTCCTTGACTTGAACACTTTGAGGTTGTTGTAGGGTTGTTAATTGGCCTGATTTCTATTTTGTTTTATTTTATTTTATTTTTTATTTTATTTTGAGATGGAGTTTTGCTTTTGTTTCCCAAGCCAGAGTGCAGTGGCATGATCTCGGCTCACTGCAACCTCTACCTCCCAGGTTCAAGTGATTCTCCTGTCTCAGCCTCTCGAGTAGCTGGGACTACAGGCACCTGCCACCGCACCCAGCTAATTTTTGTATTTTTAGTAGAGATGGGGTTTCACCGTGTTCGTCAGGATGATCTCGATCTCCTGACCTTGTGATCCGCCTGCCTCAGCCTCCCAAAGTGCTGGGATTACAGGCTTGAGCCACCATGCACAGCCTATTTTATTTTTCATTGCATTTATTTGAGACAGAGTCTCGCTCTATAACCCAGGATGGAGTGCAGTGGTATGATCTTGGCTTACTACTATCTCCACCTCCAGGTTCAAGCAATTCTCCTGCCTCAGCCTCCCAAGTAGCTGGGATCACAGGCACAAGCCACCATGCCCAGCTAATTTTTTATTGTCAGTAGATATGCGGTTTCAGCATGCTGGCCAGGCTGGTCTCAAACTCCAGATCTCAAATGGTCCATCTGCCTCGGCCTCCCAAAGTGCTGGGATTACAGGCGTGAGCCACCACACACAGCCTCAATTTTGTATGTCTCGGGGAATATGGAGGCTCGAGGAGAAGAGATATGGGAGAAATAGCTGGTCAGTGGAACAGTCAGAACACACACGACATTTATCGGTAAAGTTCACCCTCTTACATGGACATGGTTGGCAGTGTCCCCAATTACAATAGTAACATCAGAGATCATTGATCATAGATCATCATAACAGATATAATAATAATGGAAAAGTGTGAAATACTGTGAAAACTACCAAAATGTGACAGAGACAGGAAGTAAGCACCTGCTGTGGGAAAATGATGCAGACAGACTTGCTCGACACAGGCTTGCCACAAACCTTCAACTGTAAAAAAATCCAGTATGTGCGAAGCACAGTAAAGTGAGGTATTCCTGTAGTAAATTGTATAGTACACTAGACAGTGACAAGTGCTGCAGAGAAAAATCACCCAATACACTATTTCAGGGAGGTCAAGTGAGCCCACAAAGTAAACCATGTGCAGAACACACTAGCCATGGGTGCCGCTTATAAATCCTTAAAATCCTCACGCCTGTAATCCCAGCACTTTGGGAGGCTGAGGCGGGCGGATCACAAGATCAGGAGATAGAGACCAGCCTGGCCATCTCTACTAAAAAATGCAAACATTAGCTGGGCATGGTGGCAGGCGCCTATATTCCTAGCTACTTGGGAGGCTGAGGCAGGAGAATCACTTGAACCCAGGAGGGGGAAGTTGCAGTGAGCCAAGGTCATGCCACTGCGCTCCAGCCTGGCAACAGAGCAAGACTGCATCTCAAAAA